TAGGTATTGCAATTTAAAATTTTTTTTTGTTTAGGTATCACTGATCTCATTGCTCATTTGAATTATGTACGAAATTTTTACAGTTTAATTGTATTTTCATTTTATGTGTATATGTGTATCTTGGTAGTATTTGTAAATTTTTGGCCAAACGTTATTTTGTACATGCATTAGGTTGTATTATTATTATTATTTTTGTGTGTCTTGGATAAAATTCTAATTGGTATTTGCACAGCGTATTCGTTATGTTCATTCTCGGAATTGATTTTGGTTGGATTGAATTTTTGGACAATCACGTTTTCCTTTTTTCTGATTTTTTTGTGTGGGGTATTTTCGGCTGGTTCCGAGGTTCCTTGTGTTGTAACGTTCTTTTCTTTTCTAATGCTTGGCCCTGATCAGGCCGCTTTTGTTCTTAGACGTGATTGTTTGGGATTCATTCCTGGAAGTTATTCAATTTCGTAGTACTTAAGGGGGTCTTTACTCCTTTTTTTGAATACGTTCATGTGACATATTTTATTTGGAATTGTTTGAATTATTAGTGTGTTTATTTTCTCAGGAACGTATTTTATGTATCTGCGGCGCGTTAATTATCTTATTGATTGATCTTAGACATATTTTGTTTGTGATTAACGCCTTATATTTTATTTTTATTTTTGTATGTGTTCTGAGTATTTCTAGGTTTAATTAATTAAGTGATTTAATTGATGTTTTGATTAATTATTTTTGATGATCTTCCTTGAGTATTTTAATTAGTAATTGCTTTGATTAATCTTGTTGTTTTACTTGCACATTTTGGACTTTACATTTAATGTGTCAGTAACGTCACTGTACCAAGGAGTCGTATGAAATATTGTTACATTATGTTATCCTTTAGCCTTATTGCACAGTATGAGTCATGGTATTTCAAGAAGTGTCTGTCTGCTAAATTTTGGTAAACCAAAATTTAATTCCTTAGGGGAAAGGAATGTTATGTAGAGAAATTATCTGATAGCGTTATAAAAAAAATTAGGTGAATGATTTTATGATTTATGGAAATTTAAATTTTATTTTGATTCTGAATTATTTAATTTAAGGCTTTAATTTTGGGGAAAAACAGATGCTTCTGGAAATATTATTTAGTTTAAAAGAGTATTATTTATTTTCCTCTATTTGTAAATCTTGTACAAACTTTTATTCATTGTGAAAGAAGCAGGGAAAGGGAGGCAATTTTCGCCAAGTCATGATTTCGCGCGCTTTAGAATGTTCGAGAAAGAATTTTCATTGTTAGTTGACCTTAAGAGAGGAAAGTACGTGACGGAAAGGTCAAAGGTTGCTACTTGTCTTTCAATGTAAGTCATTCAGGTTTTTGGCGATTGAGGGTCCGGTTGTTGGCTAAGTGAAGAAGGGCGCGCATGCGCGATCACCCTTATTTCCGCATTCTGGAGTTGAAAACGAAGATTTTGCCATAATTAAGGGGGCGATAAGTGAAGCCATAGTGGGAGCCCGTTTTGGGAAGGAGACGAAGGAAATTCGAGTTGGAGACACACTTACTTTTGGCTGACTCTCGGACTGACTCGCTGATTTTTGGGCTTGCTGGACAAAATGTAAGTGACTCCGAGAGGTGTTTCCCGGCGGGGAGCGGCAAATATGCTCCCCGGCCGCGTTTGGTTAAGAGGCGAGACACACTTACTCTTGACCGGAGAAAGGAAAAGATTTAGTCGGCATCGAGCAGTGCTTCCGGCGGGGAGCGGCAATTATGCTCCCCGGCCGCGGGTTTTCTCAAAATGCGAAGAAAAAAAAAAAACTGTTGAGCGAATAACAAAAAAATTAACAGAGACTTGGGTCTCTATCTGTATCGGCAAAAGTCAGGACGATGTCCTCTGAACTCCGACTTGAAAACAGAAGGAATTATGTCACCTTAGTCAACTGGAAGCCTGCGTTAGCCGTTCTCTAAAATGCCTAGCTTAATTGTCTACGTTTTCCTTGGTGGAGCTGAGAGTCTGGGCAGACAGCCGTGCGGTGTAAGCTGTTCTCTTGCTTCCAGTGGGAACAATTTTCTTCTATGGAAACCAGTAGCAGGCGTAAGATTTGACGGTATAGCTGATGTAATTTATTGTCGTGCCGATTCGAGTCTCTGTCTTGCGGATTTGCCAAGTGACGTAAGGATAGAGCTAAGATATGAGCTCTCCTCCACTTCAAGATGTCCCCTCAAGATAAGTATTATTTTTTTGGTGTGTTGGAACTTTAGGCAAGTTTTTCCAAAAACGTCCTTAGCAGTAAAAACAACGTCGAATCCAAAATTTAACTCTCAGGCCATAAATTGTTTCCCTTTCCTTTCTTTTAAATCACTAGACAAACCTTAAGTTTTTTTATGAATTTAAATGAACAGACTCTCAGATGAGGTTAAGATTTTTCTTATTGTGTTGTAATTGAATAAACTGATATTTAATCTGGAACCTCTTACAGTATGTTTTCTTTATATATTTAATATGAACTTTTCCTTTATATCTTGTATATGTTTTATGTTTTCGATCCTCTCACGGCGCGGTCCTGGAATGCATTTTTTTCACAACGCAAAAATGCTGTACACGTTTCACTATACGATTACTACCTTTAACGGCAAGTAGTTTCATATTTAACATTTTTATATGAATTTAAGATATAACAAATTTATGTTGTTGTAATATCTAGAATTATCTTTTCAGATACTGCAACGATTATAAAATGTGTTTACGTTTCTTTTCTGAAGCACTTAAAATGGTGTCTTCCTGTTTCCGCGTTTGCCAAAAACGTTCCTGTTTCCGCGAAATCATCAATCTTCATCAATCCCCTTTTCCAAAGGGGGGGGGGAACTGGGCCTCGGCTTCTCCCGTTCTATAGGAAAGCAAAAAATAAAACATTAGATTAAAAAAAAAAGAAATTTTAAAAGAGATAATTGGAAAGTATTTGCTATCTCAGATCTTTCCATGAATGAAGATCACCTTTATTTAGAATTTCAGAAGAATATTATTATTACTTTAGAAAATTTAATATTGTACTTAAAAGGGGACAAACAGATGTTCAAACTCTGCAATGATTTTGTCAACGAACTAAAAGATTAAATTTCCTTAAGTAAAAATAATATTCTTCTGAAATTCTGCATAAAGGTGAGTTATAATAAAATCTTTTAGAATAATATTCGTTACGAAAAGAAAAGTGGATTAAAATAAAATTCACTACGAATATCATAGCAGCTTCGGACTAACCATGATAACACCTGAACCTCGATTGAATGGACTTGCTTCACTTGCATTTATCGGAATATCCAAATACATTAATAGAAATCATTGATAAATTTGTCATTCGTCAAAGATACATTTGTTAGTTTCAAAGATTTAATTCAAAAGTTTCAGCGGTATGGCACCCGATTCAGCAGTGATTGTATATATTTGCCATAATAATTTAAAATAATTAATTATGTATATATATATATGTAAGTAGTTATTAAAAGTAAATATAAGCAGTTATATTTACTTTTATTTATAAAATTAAAACTACTAGTATTTAAATAATACTTTTATTTTAAACAATTCAGTTTTATGTATACATGTATATAATGAAATTGGAAAATATTAACAAGTTATTTAATATTATTTCATTTTACAATGCTCTTTTTCTAAGTTTCCTACTCACTTAGCTTCTTTTTCAAGAGAAACTATACTTTGTGAGTCACTTGCAATTCCAACTCTAAACGCGGTTCGCAATTAAATTAAATTTATAATTTGGTCGCAATAGTAAAACTTTGGAAACACTGGTTCAACAATTGTAAGTGAATTCAAGTAAAGTCAACTACATTAAGACAACTATCAAGTGACTTTGGTTTATCGTGACGGTGATATTTTAAAAGATTGATTAAGATAAGATTTGAAAATAACAGCGAATATTGAAACAGAGTTATAAATAGAACTCAACTAAACATTTCGAGAGAAGCCAACACTAAAACACAATGTCAAGTGAAGACTAACTTATTCACAAATAAATTGTCCAGCTCTTCTTAACGACATCACCAGCATTTTTCAATCAGCATCAACATCACCAGCATTTTTGAGCGCAAAATATATTTATTAAAAATTTGTGCAACCTCTATTACAATATCCGATAATATGGAAAATATAGATCAATTATTGTAGGTAAAGTTATCGTCCTCGTTATGTGAGGATCTTGCTAGCGGCTAGTTTCTCTATTCGAAAGTTCTACAGCATTATGGCGTGTTGTTCCGTCGGAAACAATCTGCAGACTGAATTAGCCACGCCTCCTTAAATTTTCAGTTGTATTTTATGGAGTTAAAGGCACTCCGTAAATTAACGGACTCCGTAAATTAACGGCACTCCGTAAATTAACGTCCTAGCCTAGCGCACTCCGTAAATTAACTTCCTTGATTCTTGATCTTTGAAAAGAAATACAAGATCACTAGTCCGTCAGCCTTCCTGAAATCGAATGGCTTTGACGACAGACAAATTGCAGAACGCTAAAATCTCTTTCTGGCCATGAAACTATGTCTCTTGTTTATACTGTCAACCGGAACGAATTATTGCGATTTCAGATCATGTCGCCTCATGCATCGTAGCAGCTTGAAAACAGTGGCTTGCACACACGATTTCCTTATCTCTGTGTGATCCGCTGCAATTTCTAAAGAACAAATAAGAAAAACCAGTCTAAATCCCTAATTATTGTACTTGTTTATATATTTGCATAAAAATGATTGTTTGCATTACTTGCATGTTTTTAATAATTTAAATGGAGGTTTCTGATAAACTGCATATAAAACTGATAGTACTCATATTAGTGATTAAAGCGTTTATAAAATAAAAGAGGCAAGATTTAAAAAAAATCCATAATCTTTATATTAAATAATATATGTTATCAGATAAAAACTGGTATTTTTAAACATAAATAAAATAATCATTTAAAATCCTAATAATATGAAATCAAATTGTACATTTTATGCTATTTATGCTATGTCTAATTTAGTGCTCTAATTATAGATTGCATTTTGGACTGCGCTTGAGAATGGTTGGATGAAGAATCCACTACACCTTCATTCAACAGAGGTAAATGAAATATTAGTTAATTTCTGAAATCATACATATTGCTATTTTTCAAAGATGTGTTAATTTATTACCAATTATGCTCATAGAAATATAAAAGCATTCTGTAAAAAATACAATTTTTATTTTACACATGCAAAGGTGGATATTTATATTGCTTAATGCTACCTCATATTTTAATTAATATTAATTGCTTTAGTACAGAATCAAATTATTTGCCAATTAAAATGAGGTTTTTGGCACAACTATTTATTTTCTATTTATAGTTTCGATGAATGTATTCAAAGTATGATCTATCTACGTGAGAAAAAGAAATTTCCCAATAACATATTTCCGTACTGATCCTCATTAGTTTGACCAGTTTATGATAATTAAGTGCACGAGCTAAGAAGTGAAGTATAAGTGAATATAGTATTTAGGATGTCGAATGATAATACTTAAACAATTTCAACTGATTTTCTTACGTTTATGAGAAACACTCGGAATATTTTCTGTAAAATGTTAAATGTGAAATTAAAGTAAAATTTAAATTTTAATGAAAAAACTCATTAAGATAGTATTGGCAGGCTAATTCTTCTAATGCAGTAAGTGAACTAAAATATAAAATACGTGTTTTCAAGTTAGCTGGTCTTCAACTAATTATTTTAGTAGTATTTTAACAGCTATTTCCAAAAGAGAAAAAGATGAACTCAGTTTATGTATACCACATTATGTAGTGAAGTTGAAAAAAAAATGTCTGATGTGGACACTATATCATAGTACGGCCTATTAAACTGGACACACATTTTGCTGTCCTTCATTTATTCTTATTTCCTCGAGTTTCGTCAGAAATATGCTTTTATTTAATCAATTAAGTTCTCATTTCGCGGCAAGGAAAAACACGTAAAAACTCAAAAACTACTAATTAAAATTTGTGAAATACAGAAAACATTAAAATATCAAACACAGTTAAAAGCAGTTTAAAAAACATTTTTTACAAAACAATTAGAGTATGTTCGTAAAAACAAGCAGTTCCGTTAACGGGCAGAAACGCAACATTTTCGGTGCACAAAACTGGAAGTTAACTTTTTGTCCCACTTGGCAAAAATACAACAAAGTTGGTGCACCAACTGACTTAATTCACAATTTAACTAGGCGTTTCAATTGTAAAATGTGTAGACATCGCTAAGGCCAGCGCCACTTAAATTTTTAATTGTTAATAATATCTACAACTATTACATGCAGATCAAATAAAGGCAAAAAAACATTAACCGGAAGATAAGAACAATATAATTCAATCGCCTTTAAAGTGAAAAATAAACAATTTACTAACCTGTAAGAATAAAAATTCTAAGCTCACCGAAGAATTCGGTTAGAGAGTGGGGATGTGTAATAAAATCAACATTTTCAATCCTACTTACACGGTCAATTTTGTATTATGTAATTTATTTCCATGTTTTTAAAATACCATTCAAAAAACCATTGAACAATATATGTATCAGAAACAGTATTGAACAACACTGTGCAGAATTTAATATTGATAAATATTTATATCAAAAAGGAAAACATTACTTATCTGGCTTTTATCAGTTATCTCAAATGAAAATCGATTTCGCTTGGGAAAAAAAAAAAAAAAAAAAATTAGTGAACTTGTAAGAGTTAAACGGTAGATGAAAGTTCGTTACATACACTAAGAAAAATGAATAGTTTTTAAGATTATAATACTCCTTGATATTAGTTATAACTGTTCTTTGGACAAAATTAAACAAAGTAAAAAAAAAAAAAAAAAACACTTCTGTTTGGCGTTTGTTTAATTTTTTTGAAGGCATCAAATGCAGGTCCCTCATCATCAGGTGAAAAGATGTTCTTCAAAGAAAAAAGCTGCATTTGTATTAAAAGTCAAACAGTAAAACGAACACGGATGTAGCGCCATCTGGCCACGGGAAAATTAACATTAATGGTGTCTTTAAAGAGTCACGAAGAACTGGATTGGAATTAAATTCATTAAGTACGCAATATAAATCTTTATTCGTAGGAAAAGCTTCAAGGAAATCCAATTTACTGACTAAAGATTCTTTCTGGACAATTTTTGCAGAACCAAATTCAAACTTGAGGTTAAATTTCCATCAATGATTAACTATCGAAGATTCTTTATTTCTTCTTTTGGGACATAAGATCCATATTCCTTGATGCGAAATTTTAACACTGTTTCAGTTTGACTAATATATGTCAAACAACGTTATCAGGACCTGCTATAAATTCTGAAAGGATTAAAATTAAAAATGGAATAGAACACTTAGAATCTAACAGTGGATTTTATTGATAGGTGAGTGAATGATTTGAAAAATGAACTTCTGGAGAATGTATTCCGTGCAATATTGTAACTAATGGAAAAATGAAATGGAACAACATCTATTATTTCTAACAGAGGGATGTCATATTTCATGGCAAGATACATTTTTTAAAGGGATTATCGATAACCACATGAGAAAATCCTCAGTCAGTGGCAAATTATTTTAAATAATGTAGTTCCTTTAGGATTCTGAGGAGTAAACTTTGATATTGAGTAATTAAAGTAAAAATAAGTCATATTTTGCTTAGTGTGTGATATGATTTATATGGGGAGGCAAACAAACACGGAAAGTGGTTGCAGTAAACAGTAGTGTTAATCATGTGGTTAGACATGTTTCTCTCTTCTCTTAATTTTTCCTACAAAGTGGTATTTTCGAGAACATTCTTCTATTTTTCTTGTTTTCCCACTCGAGCCATTTTGTTTTTTCGCACCGCCATTCTTGGTAGTTGCTGGATTATTTCATTTTCAGAATCTTCTTACTTTCAGGATCTTTCACGAGATCCTCTTACTTCTCTAATCTTCGTTCACTTTGTCGTATTTTCTTTTGTGTATTTGTTCGTTAATTCTTTGGTGCATCAATCGTGTTTCGTTTTGTATTGCATTCTTTAAAATTCTCGTTATAAAACTTTTCCTATTTTCGTTCCGTATTTTCACTGTTTTGTGCTATTTTATACATTTAGTGATCATCTTTTCGTGCTTATTCTCTTTTCTGTTTAGTATGTCAACAGACCAGAAACGATTTTGCAGGTTACGTTTTAAGCGTATAAAATTCATGAACCATCGCCATTTTTTACTCAAATGCAAACATCAGAATATCTTTCCCAAATTTATTCTGAAGTCAAATGCAATCTCAAATCTTCTGTTCAAGTTTCGAAAGTTATACTTAAATTCAACTTGCCACTTATTCCTCCCATTATAGGAAACACGCGCAGTAATTAGTCTAAAACTAAATATGAATTATATTAAATTAATTTGAAAATTACCATTTCTACTTTAAAGTTTTCCTCTTCGGATCATAAATCTTGGTTTAGAGCAGAAGTTGTTTGTCAACGCAGTAAAAACGGCCTTGTTTTTAAGTTCCAAAATCTCATAATCCAGTCGTCTAGCTCTGCCCCTTCTGTTATTCCCATTATTAATATCTATAATTTTTATCTTTCGGAGAATCAGATGAAAGTATTCGATGATATCTTCAACTTCTCAAAGATAATCTGAACCTTCAGCTCATCAAATCATTGCTTCTTATGAAAAACTTTCAAACTCTATAAAATTTCAGAAACATAGAAAGATATAAACCACCACTTAATTACTCATAACGTGAAGTCATTCTAATACTGACTTCATCGACTTACATTTTCTAACTTAGCGACAGCATTATCTACTTCGGCGAAATATGTAGTTCCTAGATTTTTCTCCTTTACTACATAACAGTATTTACGCTATTGAATATTCTTATGAAATCATTCATAAACTTAAAGCTATTCCTCACTTAGCCACAATTATGGTTTCTTTTGATGTTACATTAAATGTTATCTAATATTGCAGACGAAGAAGCACTGAAGTGCTTTGAAGCTAGTCTTTGAAACTTCCATTTTTCCACATACTGAAACTGGAGCTAATATCATTCATTAAAGTCTCTTTGAGTCAAACCTTCTTTGTTTTCAAAAACAAAGATTGTCGCTTAAGTGAAATTAAGAAAGATTATCTGTGGGTAAACACCGCAGTACTGTACCTGCTGACAAATACGTGCGCTAATTTGAGGCCAAATCATTTGAGGAAGTGTTATTTCGTCTAAGTCGCTTAATTCGGCACTACGTAGCCCACACTTTAGCGCTTTTTGATGGTAATAAATTAGATTTATCCCAAATTTTATCTATGATAAATTTGATTGATCCAGCTATCGAGTTCACTTTTGAAACTTAATGCGGTAATATCCTTCCGTTCCTTGATTCATTCTTATAATTTACAATGAAACTGATATTAGCACTTCTTACCATAGTGTACAGAAAATTGATAAAGATACGTTCTTTTTACTCTTATGTAATTGCTACCAAGATGGGAGTGGTTAGTGACTTTGACCTGCTGCACCAATGGCCCACTTCGAATCCTGCAGAGGACATGGACATAAACTGTCTGTCCGTTCGTAGGAGGCGGCAACGGTGGCCCACCAATTTGATACCTCCATAATAATGTGACCACCACTTCCGGCATTAATAATGGAAAAATCCCATAATGAATAATGCCACTGGAGGCTATTTTTCATTCTTAAGGTTGAAGTTCTCAAAGCTCAATTAATTATCCTCCTCATAATCTCTTTTTGCTAATGAACTCAATTATTTGAAATCAGTTGCCATTAAATGAGGATTTTCTCCCATGTCTATTGATATAGCGTTTAAAAACATTCCTCTTGTCATGAAATAAGGCATTCCACTATTAGAAGTAACATTAATATAGTACTTATTGTTCTTCAATTTCAGTCTTCTGTCAGTTACAAAATTGTACGAGCTGTATTCTCCAGAAGTTCAATTTTGAAGTCATTTTATCACCTAACAAAATCCACTATTCGATTCTTCTTTCGATTTTCGAAGATTTCGTTTCTGCCTTTAATTATTTCGGAATTTATAGCATATCTTGCTAATGTGGTTTCAGATATATCAACCAAACCAAAAGTGCATTT